GAACCCTTTATGTGAAAGGTTTGGAACAAATACTTCCAGATTTTGGATATTTTCCAGATATCGGGATATTTGTATATATTTGTATAATGAGATATCTCAGGGAACAGGAGCCAAATCTAACCAGAAAATTCATGTTTCCTATATACTTTATACATATAGTCTTGCAGACAGTTTTATACAAGGTTTTCAAATTGTGTAAGACACAATACAGGTGCATTTTATTACTTTCTCTAGGCATCTTTGCATAGAGGAATTTGGACATGTCATGTGCAGAAAATACATTTCTACAGCCAAATAAAGGGGGATTAAGAAGGTCTTTCCCAGGCTGGGAAGGTGGCTCGGTGGTAGAGTGCTTGCCTTGTAAGCATGAGGCCCTGGGTTCGATTCCTCAGCACCACATAAGCAAAAAGAAAAAAGCTGGAAGTGGTGCTGAGGCTCAAGTGGTAGAGCGCTAGCCTTGAGCTGAAGAGCTGAGGGACAGCGCCCAGGCCCAGAGTTCAGGCCCCATGACTGGAAAAAAAAAAAAAAAAAAAGGTCTTTCCCTCTTTAAGACACTACTACTACATGAACTGTGTTGCATACCCATGTTTTGATTCCAATCTGTCATTTAAGGAATTAAGGAATTTTATACTTGTAGCATCATGTTAGTGCTCAGTAAGTACCAGACTTTGGATCATTTTGAATCTAGGATTAGGGATGCTCAGCCTGTATCTGATGTGGAGTTAATATCCAAAATATATAATGAACTTCCACAATCTAGCAGAAAAGAAAATTTGATTTTAAAATGAGCAAACAATTTAGAGAGATGTCTCCAAAAATGATACACGGGCTGGGAAGGTGGCTCAGTGGTAGAGCACTTGCCTTGCATGCCTGAGGCCCTGGGTTCGATTCCTCAGCACCACATAAGCAAAAAGAAAAAAGCCGGAAGTGGCACTGTGGCTCAAGTGGTAGAGTGCTAGCCTTGAGCAGAAGAGCTGAGGGACAGCGCCCAGGTCCAGAGTTCAGGTCCCACGACCGGACCCAAAAAAAAAAAAGTTTACATAACTTCAGTAACAGAATATTTAAATGATCTACATATCTGATAGATAACACTGTGCTTATATTTAACAAACTGTCCACTGAAAAACTATTAAGGTAGATCTCACCGTTTTTGGCTAGGGGGTATATAGCTCAGTGATAAGTGTGTG